TCACATTGCCGCTCGGCTGACGGAGTCCAGCAGCAGTCGCCCGAGTCACACTGCCGCTCGGCTGACGGCGGCCAGCAGCAGTCGCCCGAGTCACGTTGCCGCTCGGCTGACGGCGGCCAGCTGCAGTCACCCGAGTCACACTACCGCTCGGCTGACGGCGGCCAGCAGCAGTCGCCCGAGTCACACTGCCGCTCGGCTGACGGCGGCCAGCAGCAGTCGCCCGAGTCACACTGCCGCTCGGCTGACGGCAGCCCGAGTCGACCGAGTCACACTGCACGTGAAATGACGCATCACTCTAATTTTTGAACGGTATGAGCTGATTTCGAAAAAATCCGGCTTTCATGACGGTCGTTCTCGCGCGCCCGCCGCCCGCCGCCTGTTATTTGCCTCTGCAGCAGTTCACGCAGCCCCGTTTGATGGAAACTGCAACCCCGGCCACCTGTGTTCTTGCTCCTAACATCGCGAGTGAACAGACTCAAAACATGTTTGTGCAATTTGCTTCACTAGTCGATTCTGAAAAAGGACGGACGTTCTTAGACTAACATGGGTTCACTCTCTTCATGTTTTGGCATCATTCTGATTCACTATATTCAACATTAAGGAGACGTTTTGCGAACAAGGACCCCGTGGGTGGATTGCTAGGAGGCATATTATATTTTCCGGTCCGGGGCTGAAGGGCCTGTGCCGGCTGCAGTTCCAGTACAGGGTGCCTACCGGCTGCACTGCTGACGACACGGACCTGGTCAATCAGGAGACTTTCAGAGGCATCAATAATGCTTTGGTCCCCTCCCTGACATGGGAGGCCCTCTGACCCGGGCAGATGTCCCCGTAAGGACGCAGGGCCCTCAGCGACACAAAAAGATCTCTTCCAATAGTCCAAATCCAAGGTCCAATAATTGGCACAGGGACTCCAGGTCAGCATAACGGGCCCCTGCCTCAAATGGGACTGAGGGCTCTGCGTTTCGGTAATGGACCCCTGACTAGCCTCACATTTGGATCCCGTCCCTGCTCCTGTGCACCAAATGTTTTCCTGGCCGACTCGAGGCCCCTTGCCGCCACTGGCCCCATGTTGGGACTGTGGGCCTCTGACCGACAGAGAGGCCTCAACTCAGAGGCCCTGACCGATGTAAATCACGGGTCTCGGCGTTTTGACTGGTTAGAGGACGCCACCGCAGCTGCTGACATTGCGGTGCTCGCAATCCAGCCTTCTATAAATATCCGGCCACGGCTCAGTCAAATCTGCATTGGAATTCACAGTCAGTCGGGCTGAAAGGCCCGCCCGAGCTCGAGCGCCGCGTGACGTCAGGCTCGCTGGCGTGACGTCATATCACCTTGGCCGCCAGCGGCGTATCGTCGCATCGACGGTCCCTGCGCATTCGTGGCTGATCTGCACCAGGACGCAAGAGGAAACTGAAAACATGCCATTTGTCTCGCGCGGACAGCACCCAATGTCACCGGCCGGGCACGCGGGCCTGAGGACCTCTCGACAGCAGCCAAGGACGGCTCAGATCACGTGATCGGCCGAGCAGGACGGAAAGGTTACGCCGCAGCGTACGATGTACGCACATCGAACCAATGCAAACGTGATATTGCATTAGGACGGCGACATCATAATGCTATGGCTAATGAAAAAGTGTTGCCCCTACTTTAGGAAAGCCGGTTGGTCAAAACCCCATTGCAGGTAGCTGCCAAAGGGTACGTTAAAAGCAGGAAAGAAATCGCACATACCGCGGGCGATTTCCGCTGGTCCGAGCCTCGGATGGACCGTGGGCGTCGTCCCGTTCACGGTCGTCACGACCGCCGAGATTAGGCGTGCGTTCTTCGGCGGCCGCGGCGGCGGAGTCGGGCCGCGGCCGCGGCCGCCGCCGCCGGCCGGCATCCGTTCCGCGCAGCCGGCGGCGGCGGCGGGCCGTTTGGGCGCCGCTGCGGTCTGCCGCGGCCACGCCGGGCGCACCTCCGCACGACTCGCCGCCGCCACTACCCCGCCCCGCCCTGCACCGCCTGCACGGCCCGATACCGGCCCGGTATGCCACCGCTCAGCGATCTGCTGTCCTGCGGGCGGCCGGGAGAGAGGAGCGAGCGAGAGAGCGCCGCCGCGACGTCAGGGCCAATTGGGCTGAGGACGTGCCGCCCGCGCCGGCCGGCGGACGGCGACGGTGGCGGCGACGGTGGCGGCGACCGGGGCGGCCGGTCAAGTGGGGTAACCCGTCATCACGGGCTGAACGGCCAGAGGTTACCGAGGCCAGACAGCGAAGGGACGACGAGGTCTGGACGGCGGGAATCGACAGAGACTGAGAGCCGATTGGTCACAGAGGGTTAAAAAACTGGGGTCATCGCAGGCTACGAAAATGGGATTTCGCCATTCACATGACACTTCTACCTGTACCTAACAGCTTTACTTCTATCATCACTATTTTTGGACACTATTGGCTGACGGCCTTTTGGCACCTGGGGCCATAGCAAATGGAGCGGAATGCCTGATATAATAACTGAAGAATCGTGTTCATTTTGACGGCGTCGCTGGTTGTGTTGCGCCACGGTGCCTTGAGCGTTCCACCGGAGCCGGCTGCACATACCCAGCAGAGCAGTCCCCGATCGATGCATACGTGCCCCCAGAGGTCAGGCCATCCCGAACGGCTGCTGTCGCGGCGCGGCGCCCAGCCGGGTTCGCCCCAGTTGCCGCCCGCGGCCGGGGCGGGGTCACAGTCGACACTTGACAGGCCCCAGCCCAGCCCCGCCTGCGCCACGCTCTGCGTGAGCGCCGCACTGTCCGATGCTGCCATTAGTAAATGGACGTCCAGCTTCACCACTTGTGTCTAATTGTAGCACTTTCGTGCGCAGCGCCCATGGCGCGTTGTTGCCATTTGCAGAAACGCTTCCCGGAGCCGACATGGGGATCTCGTCCGCGGAAAATCGCCGACATGGCTGGCGTGCCATGCACGATTCGGCTTCTGGCAGCCGCGATACTTAACGGTCGCACGCAACACGACGTGGTTTAAGAGCATTCCAAGGGCTGGGAGAACCGGTACCGCGCCTGCTTGAACCGGGAATGGCCGCCTCCGGCGATGGCCTGTTTCCCGCTTCTTTCGGAAAAAATAGTTTCGTTCTTGTCCAGCTCACTTGCCCCGGTCGACAAAGATGATAGCGCACTATGCTTTTGGTTATCCAGGCATGGGACTGACGTCCAAACAAAAGCAGACATTATCATAATTTGCGTTGGTTTGCATTGCCGTTGGTACCGTGTGATGTCATTCAGCCACTAGACACTTTCATCGAACAAAATGATCGCAACAGGGTGCACACATCGTGTGAGGAGAGTTGGGACATGACCCCAATTGTATCATCCTTTCAGGGATCATTGGATGACTGCAATTAAAAAAGCAATCATTCGCGACTGCATTGGAAGATCAGCTGTTTGCATCTCTCACATGCCTGGACGTCCGGCAGTACCCAGTAGCTCATGACTTGATCGCAAAGCATCTGCCCGTTCACTCCACGCAGGTCAAATCCCAGGTCTGTCTGAATCTCAGCCTTATTCTTCAGATGAAGCCTGGGTCTTAAGCTTTAAAAGTGAGTACGCTCGGAGATATTTAAATTCAGAAAAGTGGGTGCGACATTGGCTGTGCCACTGCGCAGCCACCTAAATAAACCATTTCTCCGTCTCCAATTTTAGTTACTAGCCTCGCATTTTGGACACCGTGTACGTGCCGACTTTATTCCTAAGGCACGTGTACGAGAGAACCATTGTTGTCAACGTCGGACCAACACGGGGAAGCCATTTCCAAGACCTCATATAAATGGGATCCTATAACAGCAGGAGCAGTGCAAATACGCCGTTACTCTGGCACCCTTGGCCAGAGCAGGGAGCTCTGACCGAGAGCCGGTGACCTGACCCTGGGACCGCCTCAGCGGAGCCGGGCACCTGACCCCTGCGGCCGGAAGCCAGGTCGGTCGGCGGGGCCAGGCCCAGGCGCGACGCTCTGTTTGTTTTGAGAGCCGCAGGTGCCGCGTCGGCCTGTCCTCGGCTGACAGCCCGCTCCTTGGATGGGACGCCGGCGTCGCTTCCGCATATCACCGTCAGCCAGGCTGCTGGACCCTCGGTCCCAGCCACGGCGGCCGCACGGCGTTATTCTCATTACTTTGGCATACAAAGCTTTGCGCTGTGGACTGTACAGCATCGCAGACCATACACTTAGCTATCTCTTACCCTCAGCTGTGTTTCCGTGGACTTCAGACGTCAATCATAATCATTACATGGAGCTAATGAGCTAACGGCGAGATATAGCGGTAAATATTTAAATGATTATCGATGAGGTTCATCCCCACGGGGACCGAGGAAAGTTGAATATTTATGAATTCGGGCCAACACTTCCCATGACTGCGGAGTGAAGCAATGGTCTCGCAATGGTCTTCTCGATCACTCAATAACTTCAATTCCACTCCAAGCTCGCGAATTAGGCACGGCTGATTATCAATCACAGCTCACTAATTGCAGTGTTATCCCGTGAGTTCCATGAATTCGACGGGTGGCGAGGGTGTTCGGTGGATGTGGTGACCTCCATCGCCAGTGTCCATGCTGATTACTATTGTAGGTTCTGCCGGAGCCGGCCCGTCGGGTTGGGGCTGGGGTTGCGGGTTGGGATCAAGCCACGGCTTCAAAACCGCCCGTCGCAGATATGAGTCAGCTCGGCAAACAGCACCGTTCGGTCTGCAGGCATATTGATGGGTGGCTTAACAGTTTGACGGCGGCACAGGGAGCAACCCAAACAATGAGACGCGCAAAACGGGCCTGCAGGAAAACTGACCCTCATTCACATCGCCCTGCTTAGCCACTGGAATGACGGTGGATCTAGGTCAATTTCAGCTCGTTCAACGCAAGCTCACTGTCCGTTCGCATAAAACACGACCGGGATGGCTACCAGCGGCAGCAGCATGGCTCTGCTGGGCACAGCCGCGCAGGCCGAGGGGAGCGCACGGATCACACGCCGCAAGGTACTCACCGACACCTTGCCCTGGGGTGAAGGGTCGGTGTCGAGCGCGCCGCCGATCCAGGCGCCGTCCCGCCGGTCCCGGTAGTAGAACGGCGGCTGGCCCTGACGACGCGAGTCGTCTGCCGGCACAGGTCACCTCAGGTCAGCTCAGGTCAGCTCAGCACAGGTCAGCACAGCGCAGGTCAGGTCTGCTCGGCACAGGTCAGCGCAGGTCAGGTCTGCTTGGCACAAGTCAGCTCAGGTCAGCTCAAGTCAGCTCAGCACAGGTCAGCTCAGCACAGGTCAGCTCAGGTCAGATCAGATCAGGTCAGGTCAGGTCAGGTCAGGTCAGATCAGATCAGATCAGCGGTACGCCACACCACAACACCGGGGCCGTGATTCAGCCCCGCCGTCCAGCGCGACCGAACGCATGGCCTCGTCGAGCACGCCCGGTGCGCGGAGGGGGCGCGCCGGCCGCCCCGGCACCAGCCGTGATTACAGGCGGCACCAAATGCCAACAGGGCAGGGTCACGCCGAGGCTGTTCGGATGCTGATGAAGTACCGGCGTGGGATTTTCAAAAGTCGTGACCGACCAGGCAATCTCAGAGAAGGAAAATGCACTGCATGGGCCATACGACTTGCATGCCTCGGCAAACCTAAAGTCCGCGGTCATGGGCTATTGCACTTGGACAGCGAGTAACCAAAAGGGAAGTATGAAACGACTTCTACGTGCATAAGCCTTCATTTAAGCTCACGAATTGCGACATTCCGAACAAACCTGGCATCAGCCAAAAATTGTGCGCACCTCAGGGAGGAAAAACGCAGGAAAAGCTTTAGACATATAATGATGCCGCGGTCATTCTGTGGACTGGATGTGGCAATTCAGTTCACCCAGTTGTCTGCTTTAACCGATTCAGTTGGGATGAAGTGTGACGACTCATTCGTCTGGTCGCAACGTCTGGCGTCTGCAACACACTACTCTACAGAGCATTGGTTTTTGCCCACTAAGGCGAAAAATAACCATTCAGCACCGTTGCCTTTCAGGTGCAAATGGCATCTGTCGTCTGTGCTGCACGGCAGGCTAAGCCACGCCCACCTCAATTGCCGCCTTCATACCCGCCAGCATCCGCAAGCTCTTCGCTGACCACGCGCTGGAGCTGAACAGTATACCTAAAAAGGCAGCCTTGGTGTGGGGCTAATCGCCGGTTTTCTGGCCCCGAACATGCCCAACGGCCGAAGCGCTGTTCGCTGTTTGGACATCTGGACACGCCCAGCGGGATGACTGTATGTCCGTTTTTACGGCTTAGTGGCCTGGCTGTGCCGCGAGCGAAGGGTGATCAGTTTTTACCGGATCGATAGCAGGCTCGGTGTCTCCTTTTTGCATTGCCTGCACGAGGCTCATAATGAGTAGGCCTGATATTCGCATGATCGCCTAACCACAAATACACACCGCGAAACCAACGGGTCACCGAGGGAAACGTTTTGAAAATGCGATTCCGGAAGCAATGCCAGTCATAAAGGCGATTGCAGCAGGAGTTATTCACCCACACGGTGAAGGACACAGAAAATATCGCCTTTAAAAGCACTGGGTGACGCTAGTGATTTTGCAACAATGGTGCTTTTTGCCACCTGCCGCTGACATTCGGTGAAATATCTGCACAAAACACATCTGCACCGGCAATCAAATACCAGCGCGCCTCCTAGTTTCGGTCCGTCGGTCCCATAGTTCATAATGCGGCGGGGGCTGCAGCGTTGACTGCGTCCACGCACGTCAGCTCCGCCAGTCCGTCTGTCTGGGCGAGGGGCAGCCGTTCAGCGGCGGCCGCGTTCAGTGAAGGTCAACAGTTCTGCGGGCGCCAGCGTCTGGCAGTTTTTCGCCGGGGAGAGTCAGCGACGCGTCGCTGGTGAACGAGGCAAGCGCAGCTGGGATGGATGCTAGGCACCAGCCGCGGCCAGATCACACCGAACACGACGGCCGCCATTACAGAGCGGAACACACGCGGCAGGATCGGCGGTGCGGACACCTGCGGCCGAGTCGTCTGCAAGGGCGCCGCTGCAGCAGGGCTCGGACTTCGCCCGGACTCCAGCCGGCCCTGGCGCTGGCGCTGGGGTTCAGCGACCGGCGCCGTGTCGGCATCCTTTCTCACGCCAAGCAGCGTTGCCGTCTCACAAAGCACGGGGCGCCGGGGCCGGCAGGCCAGTCTCGCACATCACCCTCACAAAAACAGGACCGATAAAAACCGCAGTCCAGAACGAGGCGACATCGAACGGTGCTGAACAGGCTCGGCTGGCAGCCGGAGCCGCCTCGGCCCGAGTCGTGCTGCACTGAGCTGAACACCGCTGACGGCGGGACGGTGAGATCCTGACGGCGGGACGATGAGGTCCTGACGGCGGGACGATGAGGTCCCGTCGGCGGGCAGGTGAGGTCCTGTCGGCGGGAAGGCGAGGTCCTGAAGGCGGGAAGGTGAGGTCCTGAAGGCGGGAAGGTGAGGTCATGAAGGCGGAAAGGTGAGCTCCTGTCGGCGGGAAGGAGAGGTCCTGCCGGCGGGAAGGTGAGGTCCTGATGGCGGGACGGTGAGGTCCTGACGGCGGGAAGGTGTGGTCCTGACAGTGGGAAGGTAAGGTCCTGTCGACGGAAAGCTGAGGTCCTGTCGACGGGAAGGTGAGGTCCTGTCAGCGGAAAGGTGATGTCCTGTCAGCGGGTCGAGTGAGGCAATCTTCCGACGGAGGTGAAGTCAGGTGGCTATGCCGATAGCGAGGTGAAGGGCATCGGACCGTGGTGAAGAGCGCGCTTAACAGCGAGTGCGACGCAGCGAGGACGATCCCGACAGGGGTGGTGTGAAACGCCCAGTGAAGTCCTGACAGGGGTGGTGTGAAACGCCCAGTGAAGTCCTGACAGGGGTGGTGTGAACGCCCAGTTAAGTCCTGACAGGGGTGGTGTGAACGCCGAGTGAAATAAAGCGGACACGTCATCTAAATGAAATAACAACCGTCCCTGATTACAGTGAGGTAAGCCAGACGACAATAGCCAGCTAACCTCGGCTGGGATCGGCCGGCAACGCGCGGCAACTGCCGGCTGGTGGACGAGCGCAGCCAAAACACACCCTCGTGCGCGTGTCGCGCGGCCCGCGCCGAGCGTGCGCGTGTGCTGGCGCACCGGGCGGCATCCCGCCTCACCTGACGTGTTCAGCACCACCTCTCAGACTTCACCTGACGTGTCCAGCACCACCTCTCGGACCTCACCTGACGTGTCCAGCACCACCTCTCAGAGCTGTGCCCAGGCTCCCCTGACGTATCCAGTACCACCTCTCAGAGCTGTGCCCAGTCTCACCTGATGCATCCAACACCACCTCTCAGAGCTGCGCCCAGCCTCACCTGACGCATCCAGCACCACCTTTCAGAGCTGTGCCCAGCCTCACCTGACGTGTCCATCACCACCTCCCGACAGCCGAGACTCCCCACGCTACACTTGAACATGGCGCCCGTCTCCGGTATGCTGTGCAGACCGAGCGTCGAGTTGGCTTTAGGCGCGCCCACCAGCACCCTGGAATGGAGCGGGGACGGTCAGCCATCACCGGATTCATCCCGCCGGCGCGGCATCCACGGCGGCACGGCGGCAGCGGCACGGCCGTCCCACGGCGCCGGACCAGCGCTGCAGCGTATCCCCGGCCCGGCCCGGCCCGGCCGCCCACAACCCGGACACGGCCGCGCCGGCTGCTGCAGGCGGAACATGTCAGCGGGAGCGAGACGCAAAAACACTGCAGCGGTGGAATGTGGCTGATGTTTTGTCGTGCGCACTCGTGCCATTTATCTGGCATGCAGGCACTTCTGCAAAGCATGCGGCGCCATTAATTCAGTCATCATTTACTCTTAACATCACTCGATCTCTCACAGATAATATCCTATTAATTCAGTTGTCATTCTTCAGCTGGCGGCTTACTCAACCGCATACTTGCCAATGTAATCAGCCAATTAATAGACCATTCAATCACCTTCTCACGCACCAACTTATTTGGGCAATTGGCACCGCTGTGGTACCTTATTAAAAAGCGTGAACAATGAAACAGTCCCCGTTGTTCAGCAACAAGGGATCGTGGGAAAACCGAAGTGGACCACGTCACCGGAGAGGCGGAGAACTCCGACGCAAGTAAAAGCTTCGGGCCGGTTACCCGAAGCTACTGACAGCAAACGTATATCACACAGTCAGGCTGAAGCGCCTTGCTATCCAGACAGCCTAGCTCGTGCGCGTCTTGCTGCTTTCCCAGTGGGCTCTTCTTCCGGAAGTGGGGCATGCCGGGTTCACGCTGGCACGTGGCGTGCTTCGCCTATGCCCGAAGGCCGCACGCCGGCGAGAGGCAGCAGCTCTGCACGCCCTCGGGCCGGCGGCGGCACGGGCAGTCTCCACTTCAGAGCGGAGAGTGTCCGAGCGCCGCCGGACCGGCCGGCCAGCGGAGCGGTCAGCAGCCTGGCGTGTCCGGCGCGGGGCCCCGGCGTCTCGACGCGTGCCGAACACGCCGGCCGTCACTGTGACGGCACCGGCGAGCGCACCACCGCGGCCGGCGTGTCCCGCACAGGGCCGGACAATGGGCGGCGATCTCGCCCTGACGGCGCGGGACGAGAGAGGTCCGGGCGTCGGTGACCAACACACACCCGGCCCGAGGTCACCGCCGAAGGTCCCGGCCGCGCGGGCAAGTGTCGAGTCGCGGCGGCCTCGCGGACGGCGGGGGACAGCCGAGGGTCATCCAACCGGGTCAGCGGCATCCCGGCGGCGCAGACGGCGCTTCGCCGTAATCAAGCAGCTCCGATAAACAACCGGCCGAGAGCGGCGCCGGTGGCCGGCGCTCCGCGGCCCGCTCGGCCCACCGCGAGACACCTGCTGATCCCGGCCATCTCGGGCGCTAAACGGTCCCCGTGCACGATTTCTCCGCGGTTAACCGCAGCTGATCGAATTGGCGGGGCCGAGCGAGCGCCGTTCAAACAGTGGGACGGCGTGACGGGCGCGGCTTTTTGTGGGCGCCGCACCGGCCTCGAGCGGCGCCGCCCGCCCGCCGGGCCGAGACGGTTGTCGTCACCGGCCGGCGATGGATAGCGACGCCAGCCTAGGCCGTTTTTTTAGCGCCGGCCCTTTTTCCGCGCCGGTGACGAGCTCAGGGAAGGCGGCGGTCGGAGCGCGCCTGGCTCGTGTTAGCAGCCCGATCAGGCTGATTAGTGCCGCACTGGGGCGGGCCGGGCCGGACCGGGGCGGGGATGGACTACAGAAGAGGGTGGAGCCGGCCACGGGCGAGGAGTGAGCGTGCACGCTGGAGATGACACACCGCGGCCTGACAGCCGCTTGCCTCGATCTCTCAGCACGGTCTGACGGCCGTGCGGGTGGCCGTTATCGAGCGTTGGGCGACGACTCGCCGCTGCACGTGAGCCGGCCCGGCGGGCCCGGCCGCCCACCAGGCCGCTCCCACGGTCCCGGTCACGTAGTCCCGGCGACGGAAGACGCAAGCTCGGACGATGGACCGTCACCGCGAGCGGCGGGGAGACACCGGAGCTCACCGGGCGCAGGAGAGGGAAGGGAGGGGGCAGTCTGGACACCGGAGTCACCGGGCGCGGGAGAGGGGAAGGGAGGGGGCAGTCTGGACACCGGAGCTCACCGGGCGCAGGAGAGGGGAAGGGAGGGGGCAGTCTGGACACCGGAGATCACCGGGCGCAGGAGAGGAGAGGGGAGGTGGGCAGCCTGGACACCGGAGATCACCGGGCGCAGGGGAGGGGAGGGGAGGGGGGCAGCCTGGACAGCGTATCCGGCGTGTCGTCTGGATCCAAGCTGGACACTCTTCTCGCCACCGTCGCTGAAATTCTGGACGCCACACAAAGGCGGCGTTCACGCGAACCAGACAAAGACGAGCTGGCTCGGGCCCGATCCCTCAGCTGTCAAACGGAGCCCCATCATTCGGCCATGCAGAGAGAAGGCGCGGCAAACATGTCAGCGCGGAGGACTAACACGCCCGCGGAGGAGCGGCCGACCGAGCTCGTTCGCGGGGTCTGTGACCCGCGAACGGGTCTGCTGGACCGAGGCGGCTGTTACGGCACTCGGTACCGGCAGGTCACGGTAGACTGGGACAGTGGTGACATGGTCACCACGCCGGGGACATACCAGTGGCGTCTACCGTAAACGGGTTCTGATCTTGCGACCTAAAACGTGAGCATGACTGTTCTCGCAGCCCAGCGTTCCATAACAGGGAACGGATCGGGCTGCAGCGCTTAAACGCAACATCTGGAATTACTCGACTGCTCTGCGACAGCATAATGACGCTATCATAGCTGCGCTGGGCCTGCGACTTGTCTCGCTTCCTTTGCTACCACTTTGCAAATCACTTTTTGCTCAGAATCCAATTTAATCAACACTCACCCCCAGAAATAAACTTGTCGCAGAACCAATGCCCCGGCAAAGGGTGCTCTGGCCGACGGGGCGTGCCATCCCACCGGCTGCACGGCGGTCTCGGGGATACATGCCGTGCACCGCGGTCACTTCACGGACGGTGGCCAGGTGGCACGGCCCGCGGTAGCAGCTGGCATGGCCGGCTTGGTGCGGGCATGCCTCCATGCAGGTGGCCGGCGCGAGGCAGGCATTTTGTTCGGCTACCCTGTTAACTGCTATATTTCATCGTGTAATAAAGCGGACGGAAGGACGGCTTGAATGTCACAAAGGAGGCATCTGTTGCGCGCCAAAAATAGATTCCACCGCTGCTATCGCAACAACCATGACGTCTAAAAGCGGCGACAATACCCCATACTCACGAAGTCAGACTTCCCTGGAACCAATATTAAAATGTAACATAAATAAAGACCAAACCAAAATGCTGTCGCCTTTGCGTGCATCCGACCAAAGCCGGAGAGTGTCCGAGTGCGGGACTCTGCAGATTCACCGGCGATGGGAGCGACACTCCAAAGGACGCAGGAGCGCCAGCGCGCGTCCGCGAGTGTCCGAGTGCGGCTGCGAGTGCCGGAGTGTCCGAGTGCGGCTGCGAGTGCCGGAGTGTCGGCCCCAGCACTCCGCGCTGCCTCCATCGCCGACGCCCGACGTGACCGCCCAGGTCCACTTCCTCTGCCGGCCGGGCGTCGCCCTGACAGGCTGCGCGGGCCGACCGTTGCGCCCGTTATTGCAGGGGCGCGGCGCAGACAGGGAGAACGTGGCGCCGGCCGTTGGACGCCCGCATCCGTCTGGCGGGTCGGGGGGGGGGGGGGGGCGCCGCTCAGGGCGGGACTGAACTAAGGCGCGCGCGTCCGCTGCAGGGGGGGGGGGGGGCGGCCGCTCTGTCGGAGTTCAAGGTGGCGGCCGGCGGGGTCACCGGCACACGCCGCAGCACGTGTGGCGCAGGGGCAGCTCCGGCGTGGTCCACGCGAGGGGGACCTCCCGCAGCGCGTGAAAGGAGAACTCGTCTCGTTGTCGGCGCGGGGATGAAAGACCCAATGATGCTGGTCCGTGCGCTGGGACCGCTCTGCGGTCAGCTGGGGAGCGAGAAATCCCACCCCTTTGGTCTTCACGGATGTGGAGCGTCTCCAGTCACCCGTGTGTGGAGCGGCCATCCTGTGACCATCCGCGTGGGAGACAACAGTGCATTTACGCGGCTGTGGACGCCTCTGCACGCCTCCGGAGTCCTAGTCGGCAGCCATAGATGGCTGGTGTGGCGGTGGCGGCGGCGGTGACGGCGCGCGCCACACACAGGTAATTATGCTAATGGCTCGGCACCGCCCAGTGCTCTGGTCTGTCTGACCCGCGGGACACAATGGACAGAGGGGCGGAATCGGCCACAGTTCCCTGCCATCCTAATCAGAGCCGACATTGACCACGGCTGCGCCCAAAGAGGTCCGGGAACCCTGCAGGATGTGGTGCGGCCACCAACGGTGCCGGGGACTATGGCATCCCGCCCCGCCCGTCTGGGAGGCGTTTTCGGCATCCGCCCGCGCGCTGAGAGCATGTGTTCTTCGGCATAGCGGCCCCGGCAACAGCTGCAGTGTTTGGTCCGATTCGAGCGGGGTAAAAACGCGTAACTAGGATATGAACAGATTGACTGGGCAAAAACCGCACCGCGAGCGGCGATCGTGGAGGTGGACATCATCCGCCGCCTGGTGACCATTTGTCATCGCCCTCAAACGCCGTTACGTGTCCCTCGTCCAATTAATGGACCCATATAACCAGCGCACAAAACATGCACTGGTTCAGATATCCTGCCGCTTAGTACCGCGCAAAATGACAGCTTGTTTATCTTGCAATGCTACGCGCCGAGCGAAAGACAGACGACCTCAGCTGTACACACCTTGTGTGTGCTCGTGAAGCCGCGAAGGCCGTGCGAAAGCTGGAAGCCCGCCGGAAACAGCCCATTGACTGCAGCCAAGTATTAGAAATCGCAGCGCTATCGATCCATCGCCTTCACATTATCGCTGAGAAAAGTCGATCCGAATGAATTACGCGCAGGTCTTCCAGGGAAGCGAGCTGTGAAATCGCACTGGAGCATGTTCGCCAAGTACAAGATTGCCCCGTCTAACAGACTATCCCGCCGCAAACTTCCGGTAGCCTCTGGTGAAACAAACGGTTTCGTTACTGCGAACTTGTCCAGTTCCACGAGCACCGCGGGCGCGGCACACATTCCATCCGCCGAACGGAGCCTCATGTCACGCACACCGAGCCGCCGCCAGCGTACCGATGTGGCCACAGGGCCGTTCCCGCTTCGATAGCGAGCGCCTGTGACCACAGGCTCGGTCCCCGTCATGATAGCGGGCCAACTGAGCCAACAAAGTTGACCTGGCCTGCCATCGAATCCCGATTTGTCCCCAGAGTTCGGTTACTTTGATGCGTGTCGCTGATTTCAATTTAACAAAAATATTTGACCCTTTCCAAATTGTTCTGATATTTGGAAATAACCTCCCAACTGAAGCCGATGTGCTAGTGACAGTGATGCCATATGATCATGATGATGCCTATAAATAGCGATGCGCTTAGGATCTAGTATACCAGCACTTGTTACATGCTTTAAGTCCAGTACCAGTCTTTTTGCTCGCATGCATTCGGATGAGGGGGAAGGCTCAGAAGAGCACTGGGAGGGCACCGTCGGCCGGTCAAGGCCGCTGACGTCGGCACTGCTGCTGTCACGGCGGCCAAAGCCGGGAACGGATGTGGCCGCGGGAGCGTGATGGGCGGTACACTTAACAATACATCAACACCTGAGCGACGGCGTAATTATCCAACAGAGGAAGCAGACACGGGAGCCGTGAAGAACG